TCTATAGTAATTATTGTAGTAATGTCAAGCGTAAAACGGAGAATGAGATGTTGAAATTATATATAATAAAGAATATATCGTGTAAATCTTGAGAGAGTTCTTTATCCTTTTTTTATATTTTTAGAATAAAAATTAAAGTTAAACAATAACGTCCTTACTATAATAGCGTCTTTACTGTAGAAACACAAATCTGGTACAATTGAATTCAGTCATTATATTTCTTTTGTCTTTCATATAATATATGTATGTTTATAAATTTGTTTTATCACTGGCAACTGGTGATTACTACTTAAAACTATTTCCTTGGAATATAATTTTAGAAAATAGATTATCTGGTTTAAGTACTATAAAAGAGGTAATTCTGTGTACGTTAATACTGATAGCGTTTATATAATAAATTACAGATATGTCATTGGTTTCATGATCGAACATTGAAAATTCGTTGAATCAATTTTTGATGAATCTTTAAAAAGTATCGATATACTTTTGACATTCATACATCCTCACATATATAGGTTTGGTTGTTTCTTGTTTACTTATGTTTGCATTTTTTACACAATTTTCTAAAATATCACAAATATCGGCTCATTTCTTTGTGCCTAATATGCGATATTTACTTACGTAGTTCGTTTAAGTACAATTTACATAATGATAGAACTAAGTAATCATATACGAATGAGCGAGATATTTAAAAAATTTTCTTAAATAATAATAATAATATCTCTTGAACCGTTCATTTGCCAAATCGATTAACTCCACAAAACAAAAAAATTGAGAAATGGACAAAATTACTGTATATTATTTTTTAAAAATTCTTTTAAAATTTAATCTCAATAACACTGTAGGATGTTATTGAGAATACAAACGTAGCTTTCATCTAACACAGTCTGGTAATTCTGAAATGCTTCTGAAATAAATTATTGTTCCACTGTCAAAAAAATTTTCACTTAATTGTATTAAACCTAATTATTAAAGAAATTGATTTGCAAATATATTCAGATACATAAATACAGAAATAAGTAAGTAATCAAACTTTGTAAGTGATCAAAAATTCAGAAAGTGGAGTTGGTCTTTGAACGGCTCATATATCTCTCGAGGAAAAGATATGATCGACACTCTTCGAAATCATGTTACTTCCCACATAGTTGAACCATCACTGTTTCTATTGTGTCTGGAAGCTACATCAACGTGGGCATCTAAGCCATCGCTCAATTTACTGAAGCGTCTTGCCCAGCTACCTCTGGCACCTCCTGCAGCTCTCCCTCCAATACTACCTGCTTCTCTAAGCATTGACAGAATATCATCTTCGTCTTCTCTGCTCTTTATACCTTTCTCGTACTTGGCCTCTTGAGCTAATAAACGTTCCCGTTGCAACTGAGTCGCCAAAGAACGAGGTACAGCTGGTATCACGTAGCTCATAATGCCAGTTAGGGCGAAAACCTAATTGAAATTCCAAATGTTTCACTTTATCGATAGTCCTTTAAAAAATTAATTTTATAGGTATAAATGTACTGGAGTTAAGAATCACAGTGATGTAAATCATCAGTCTGTTACTACTTTTCATAAAATGGTGCTTTGAGGGTGAGATCATATCGTGATAGAAAATAGAATTATAGTTCAATTACAAAATTGAAAGAACGATACTTTTAAGAATTAAAGCACTCGATTTGAATTGAACGTCTATTCGTCACTATGATTTTTAACCTGTTATATAGATAATAAAGCTAAGTAGGAGCGTACGAGATGCTCAAAGATGACGACAAAAGCTAAACGGGCTGCGAAAACATGCCAATATTGCGGACTGAGTCCGTATGGATCGTTTACGTGGTCCGGTCCATTTCTGTAGCCTCTGTATTGACAAGTTTCCGGATGATTTTTATCCATATCACTCTTCATGTCTTCCCGATAATCTGATGTATTGAATTCTGATAGAGAACTATCGATATAGCCCACTAAATCCTCCGTTTCGGAGTAAACGATAGCATAAACGCTACGTGGAATAAAATCTGACGTGTACGCGATAACAAATGCCTGCGAATTAGATTATTGTTAGATTATTGTACGAATTATTGTTAGATTATTGTTAGAATTTGTAATACAAATACAATTTTAGATCAAGAAGTCTGCTAATTATCTAGAAAAAGTGATCGCCGCCAATTTCAATGACTTTGAAATATGTTGCCAAAGTTATCATTCTGAACAATTTTTTCCTATAAATGTTATTGCTATTCAATCTTAGCTTCTAAGATTATATAATGACTCCCATCAATGTTCGGGCACTAAATATTCAAACTGTTAGAATTTTGTAAAGAAAAATTGTTCATTTACAAGAATATTTTCAATTGTTCATTTTATTCTAAAATGTTTTTTATATTACGTAAAAAACGGGTGGATAAGTGAAGACATCTTTCTCCTCAAAAATGTTATAAATTGTCATAGTAGAAACAATTTGTGGATTTGAATATTGAAGCCTTTCCTTAACGATCCCTCAAAACTTGCTGTACAATTTTTTTTCGCTAATTTATTCAACTTTGAATGTCAAGTGAAAACGAATGTAACGACGGAAATGTTACAACTTCTTGAATTTTCATCATTTCTAATGTTTAAAATCTAATATTTAGAATTCAATGAAATGATGGAAAAAAATCATACATCAAGTTTTCGAGGATTGTTGTAAAAGGGAGGCTTCAATCTTTAAATTAATAGATTCAGTCATGAAACAAATTTAATATCTTTATATACTATGATAATTCATAGCATCGTTTGATCCTCACTCACAACATTCATTACGTAATATAAAAACGTTTTAGAATAAGACAAATAACATATTTTGAAAGTGAAGAGACTTCAAGACCAAGTTTATTGTTGTATGAATTCTTTTTACAAAATTATATTAACTTTCGAATGTCCAAAAATCCTTCTCGCAAGTGAAATGTTTTTCTGCAGAATAAAGCTATTTTCTAGATTATAAATCAGCTAAATCGGAGTTTTTGGAAATTACGCTTGAACATTTTTTGCGTAAATATCTCTCAGAAACCAAGGCCGAGCAGCGGCAACGTATATAAAAAAAAGTTGTTCAGAATTATGACCTTGACAACGTATTTCAATATCCCCTTCTCTGGTATGTAATTACCAGAACTTTTATTATTACGTATATATACGTACATTTGATACTACAGCAACGTAAGTTACTCCACGAAGTATACCATACCAAGCTCCTATATCTTCCACCCTCTCTGCTAATGGCCTCCTTGCCTCCTTTATCATCTTATATGCATCAAGTCGTATTTCAGCTATATTGTTTAATAACGCAAACAATGGTGCTAATGGAAATGCGGCGACGAATAGAGTCACAAATCCGTACTGTAAAACTGTAAAGAAAAGCAGAAAATTGGAAATATGCTTGACAATTACACTATTTAATTTCCCCTTCATGATGAGTTATTCAAATACTCATTTCACTTACTCATTTCTAAATATTCATCAAACAATGCAAGCCTTCCAGGATCTTGCAACTGATAATCCTTTTCCCAGTAAGTATACGGTCTGCCGTGATCCTTTGTAGCGGCAACATGGTTTCTTTTGCGCCACCAATTCCACATTTTCGGTGACAATATCTCAACAAAATTATTGAAGCATTGCTTGCCCACCATTATAATAGCGAGCTGTATACAAACTTCTGACAGGCATCCAGCTGGATCGCAAACGTCTGTTTTTATACGAGAAAATTCAGTAGCTCGAGCAGTTGTGTCTCCGGGATGAACAAAAAATCTACCCTGTAAGCCGCCTTTCTCAATAAATTCGCTTCGTTTCATATGTGCAACAAATAGTATGTTACCAACTTTAAAGAATGCTATATAGATAAGGGATGAATAAAAATTGACGAACTCGAAGAGAAATATCTTGAATGTGAAACTGGATTCGTACTCGGTCTGCGTCCTAGGGTTCTCCATGTTCACCATCCATCGTGCTAAACGATGATATACTCGTGTAAGGATCATGATGATAATCAAGTTAATTAAAGCGGCAGTCATGGAGGTGAAGATTTTTGCGTGTTTCTTTAAAAATGGGCCCCCACCACCATAAAATACGGCTACCAACGATATTCGAGAGATAATAGTTGCCAGAACAGCACCCAGCACTACGCATATCTGAATGAAAATTCACCAGAAAATTTGACAGAGCAAACTTATTTGAATGAATGCGAGGAAAATTTCTTAATTACCATAAAAAATACTATAGAGCTCGTGGCACAAGAACGTAAGACCTTAGACCATACTGGTAAATAAGGCTCTCTTTCCCTGGTCACGGGATTTATTCGAAATGTTTTCACTGTGGTCTCGAATTCAGGTCTAGGTTCTTCATCGCTTTCAACGTTTTGGAGATCCCATTCCCAAATTATTACAGCTTGCCTTCTTTTCCATAACTCAAGAAATGTTGTGGCTAAACAATTGAAAATAAGAAGATTACGGATAAAAGTTACGCGTTGAAACACTAAACACACATATATATAAAACATACCCCAAAAAGACATGAAGATGGCAAAGAAGACAGTGGCAGGATTATCGAATAAGTAAGTTAATTTTGAGAATATGCAGGATTCGCCGAGTTTTTGATAATTACATGCTTTGTCGCAGAGAGGACATAATATAATATTTCCTGAACAAAAAGAAATTTAATAAAGCGAGAAAAGAATATACAAAATAATATAAAAATTGTGTACAACAAAAATACCTGCTACATTAGAATTACATATTTCTTTGCTTGGTATGTTATCAGGTCCATCCATACTTCCTACACCGTACATAAAACATAAAAGGCCAACGATTGCTGGAGCATACAGACATTTTGTGTAAAACCCTAGCCATGCGAAGTAAAGAGCCACCTTTTCACCAAAATATCGTCTGATCAACCATAGAGGTTGTTTCTTATACCTAAATATACAAAAAGCTATATATTTATTTTAAAAGAAATAAAACTGTCGATGAAATTACCATTGCGAAGGTCTAGCCCATATTAAATACAGTAAATATCTATCAAGAATTTCGCCATTGAGTCCAGGCTTATTGTAAGGGCCTTCATGCAAAGAAAAGCAATCAAGATACGTGCCATCCGTCAAAAGTCTACGGATACCTGCTTTTTCGTGATTTTCATCGTACCGTGTCCTCAATAATATCTGCATTACTATCAAAGATCTTTGTGCTGGTGTATAAGCTGTATCCCTATCTTTTACTACAAATCTACAAAAAAGAGATAAAAATATTAACTATCTAGTGATATATAACGTTTTATATTATATATGTTATTATATATGTTATGCTATATACCTTATATAGTTTGAATTTATCTTATCTCGCGTGCAAGGAAAAGTCAATAATTATCCGCAGTATAATGTAGTAGAATAAAAATGAAGAAAATTATTGACCTAGGGCAGTAATGAAATATTTACCTTTCTTCTCGATCACCAGAGTCAATGCTATCATAAAAGCTAGGTTCTTCCGGGTACTTCTTTGTGTCCCAAGTATGTACTTTTTTTATCCATTGTATCCATTTCTCCCAAAATTTCGAGTTTTCTTCCACATCCTCATTACCTTGCTAATAACAAAATAATATGATTTGTTTATGTAATAATATGATGTTTATATAAAATGATATGTTTATTATAAAAAAAAAAAATTAAGTTTCATCGGCCTACCCAAGCTTTGACAGAAATAGTAATGAATCTTTTTGTGGGTAATTTTAAGTTCATTACTTCAGCGTATTGAACTTTGATCTTCCATGGAATGTGCAACTTTAAAAAATAAGTTTTCCCATCGAATGAGTTCTCTTTTGGTTCCAGTTCCAACTGCAAACCCTCTTTTAATAGATTCTGTTGGAAAACACGTCTCTGTTCTTTTCGACGCGCTTCTATTTCAGTCATTACTCCATTGTTCTCTTCTTGGTACACCAACATCATATCAATGCGTCTACGACCATCTCTGCAAAATATCAGTATAATACTGTGTTTAACAAATTGTAATGCTAATAATAATAATAATAGCAAGCTAATCGACTATGTTTTGAGATCAATAAGGATTTAAGATTATTAAAAATTACAATAATTATTTAGAAAAAGGAACTCTGCACCAACATCAATGACCTTTTATTGAATTCAGTATATTCATAAGATCAGTATCATTGATAATTGATTTGATAGGAAAATATGGATTAAAAACTTCGTCAATTTAATGTATTTTTATGTATTTGACTGAAATTACTGTATTTTTTTATTTTAATTTCTTGTCGCCAATAGTGTTGCAGTGCAAGTACTGCCTAAATCGATATGAGATGATAGGATATGACATGAAAATGATAAGGCAGTTAGATGACCTTGAGAATGGACATAAAAAAGCGTTAAATATCCGGACTATCGCAATTAGTCAATGCCATCATACTAGTATTCTGAAATAATTTTCCGAGATTATTTTAAAATTATTGCAAGATTATTCTAAGATCAACTCAAGATTATTTTGAAGTCATCCAGTGTCATTTCAAAATCATCCAGCATGATCATTCAAATTTATTATTCATTCACAAATTACATTTGAATGATTACAAATTAATCATTCAAATTTATTATTTCAAATAAACTGTGCAAATAAACTCATTCAGTGTTGCTTTAGGAGATTATTTCAAAATTATTTTAATACCATTTCAAAATCATTTGAGATAATTTGAAAATCGTTGAAGGAAAATAGTGAAGCTTATTTAGAATAATTAATGCCTTTCAGAATGACTTAATAGAAAAGCAAAACTCGTAACTAGACCGAGTCTAATTGTAAGATTATACCAGATATGAATAAAAAGAAGTCTATTGTTAGGTCGACTGACATAAAGCTATTAAAGCATAAAATTGCAATAATGTGACGTATTGCTAGAGGTCACGCGATGAGAAAATTAATTATCCAAACGTCCCTTTTTTTTTTGTACTTCGAGTTTTGTAACATTGCGCTTCTGTTACTGGCTAATTATATAGAAATGTTCCTGATAAACTGACTGCATTATTTTTACTCACTATGCGTGGTCAATATCAATCTACATGTTGCTACGATTATGAAATTCCTTATAGATTACTATTCATTTTCTTTTTAAATCAATCGAAGAAACGAAGAACAAAAAATTGGTGAAACGAGAGATCCTGTACTGTGTGTATACTACAATACATAAATCATTGATATAACATAGTTTCATTAAGGGATTTATATTTTTATTACGTTTCGACAATTATGATTGACAAATATTCTTCTTTCAATCTGTTAGAAACACAAATTTCAATCGTTCTAAAATTTCAACAACGAAGACATAAATTTAAATTCGTAAAGCCTTCAGCAATTATTATAATATTAGTTATTCTTTTCATCAATTGTTTTAATTGTAAATGTTAATTTTAATTTCAATGTTAAATCGAAATATGTTTGAATTATATTTTATATTGCAATAATTTAAAAGTGTCGAAATATAATAATTATCACGATCGTACAAATAATATTTTTTGAAGATATTTGCTATTTAAAATATATATATATATATATATATATATATATATTTTGGAAAATGAATACCGGAAGTAGAGCGTTTCAGGATCCACTTCCCCCTCTGAGGACGAATCCTTCTGCAATAAAGTATTTCGCGGTATATCTTCAGAAATTGGTGTCTCTGGCAACGGTGGAGTGTCTTCTGGTGTCGTTGGTACTGTAAGCTTAGGACCTATATAAAAAATAATATCTTCAAATTAATTTGAGATATTGAGATACAAAGTTAAAATTATTGTACTGTAATGTTGCTCTTAATTACTGATATCGTTACTTGAAGTTTTTTAAGATCAGAAAAAGATCAGAAAAGGTAATTAACCAATGCATGTATAAAAGAAACACTCAGCGTAATAACTTCCTATCGATGATATTTATGCGCGTGAATAAGATAGTCAGCACCTGTTGCGTGAAATTGCAATCCGTTACTGTGTCTCGAATTGATCGTACATGCATACGATCAAACTGTGCAAAATCCTTTAACCTTGAGAGTCTACACGGCAAAAGAAACAGTCACATGCCTCGTACAAATTTTAAAGTAACCTTATAAAAGGCGGGGGTATAATTATCGTTATCGGGAGTTTCGCATTCCATGAGACAAAAACGAAGAATAATAATAAAATACACGTGTTGGCTTGACGGATAATCCGACTCCGTTAAAGTTACCGATCCATTATTCGTGACACGCTGACATTTATATATGCATATTGATCGCAGTTTATTGACTTAGGCCTATTTCAATCACTGCAAGGCTAACCAAGGTGCCATTATTAGAATATTTTATATACCGGCCATTCGAATTCTCAATTAAATGTTTTTCTTTTTCTTAGCAAATGTCAAATAATAAGAGAAGGAGAAATCAAAAAAAAAAAAAATTGATAGAGAAATGTTGGAATCCTACCGAAAGCATCCCGTGCAGTCACATTTGTTCCCGAGGGATAAACGCTGGCCCTGGATAATTTCTTGTTAATTATTGGCGATCCATTCGACTGGACACCATTTTTATCCACCTCATAAATTATTTCCCTGGTGTTTTCAACTTGCGTGCTTTTGTGCACACTGGGCGAATTTGATTTTATAGAATTTGCCATGGTTTTTCGGGGCGAGGAATTCTTCGAACTTTCCGATGCCTCTTTCGATGGTGCATTTTCTGTTCCCATCGTACTACTCACGTTCGTCTGAGATTCGCTTGATTCGGTAATATTTGTGTTATTC